GGGTCTGTATTCTTCAGTATTACCGAAACAACTGACAAACTTAGTTAATTTCATAATAATAAATATTCAAAAATAATTAATAATTACTTTGTTATTTGTTTATTTTCAAATGTATTTTTAAATACAAAAGTGGTCGGATAGAAAGCAAACAGTAAATTTTAATATTCTTGATTTGTGTTTTTCCTAATTTGTGTCTATTTTTTTATTCTTTTTTTGACTGAGTTAAATTAAATAACGTGTCTTTTGATAGTGTTAATGACTAATAATACCAATAAGTGTTTTTGCTAATTTGTGAAAATTTTTCGAAAAATTTTTCTCAGGATCTGGGATTTGATATCCGGTAAATCCGGAGTATCTCTGTCAATCTTCGTTTTCATGAAAAATGCAGAAGCATGTCAACTGAGATACAAATAGTGCTTTCGATTGCTATATAGAACGCATTTTTTGAATGAAAAATTAAGAATCAACAAAATTTTTTCCAGTGGTCGTAAACACACTGTAAAGTAACAACACTGTAAAACATGTCAAATTCATGGATGCCAAAACTTAACTTTTGAGCATATCTCTTCATTAATTTTTTTACAAAAAGTTTTTTACTAAATCTAATTTTTATACTAAAACTAAAAATAACAAAATAAAATGAATATTCGAAAAAAAAAATAATTTTATCTTTGTCTTTGTTTGCAATTTACCCATAATTTTTTGGAGTTTTTAATTTTTTGTATTTTTTTGTCATTTTCTGAAATTTTTTTTTGTTTTTAGAAATAATTTTAAATTCATTGGTCGACAATTTTTAGTGCAGTCTCTTGGATTTACCAATAGGTAACTTAAATAATCTTCACTTTAGTCTCGATCAAACTCTGTAGCTTCATTATCTCCTCCTTCAACGTTTGACGCTTCACCTGCTAAAAATTAACCAATAAATTTTTATTTTATTTCAGTAGAATTATTTTGGAAAATTTTCTGTTATTTAAAATATAATTTGAAGATGAAAAGTGTTGAGTCAAAACATAAGACCAAGAGTCTGGAAGGCTCTATTAGTTAAGTTACTAGTTATTACGGTAATATTCAATTTCGCCCCCCCCCCTCTTTTTCATTCCTCAAAGTATTAAAAAATGGTCAGCCAATCTTAAGTTATAGAACTCGTCGAGCTGTGTCGAATGACACTAAAATCAAAAAAATCGGACCCCTGAAAAATACAGACCCCTGAAAATTGAACGACCATAAGGGCGAAAAACCATAGAGACTAACATTTATACAAAAGATAGCTCATTCGAAAGAGCTCTTCAAGCTGAGCCGAATGAAACTCAAATCTTGGATAAGATTTGACAAAGTTATGTCATAAGTCTCACACAGCTCGACGAGTTTTATAACTTAAGATTGACTGACCATTTTTTAATACTTTGAGGAAAGAAAAAGAGGGGGGAACGAAATTGAATATTACCGTTATTACTAGGGATCAGGTTTTTAGTTTATAACCTATTTAGTTCTGAAATCTTTAAAGTGTGTCAAGCTCAGATCTGTTGATATTTTTTAAATATTTTATGTTTACGCGAGGTAATTATCACATATGATAATCTTTTATGGAATTTTGCAACCTAAAATATGTTGTAATTAGGGTTAAACGCTGGAATTTTTGAGATATTTTTGCAAAATTAACTGCTTTTATGTAATTTTAAAAATCGAAACAGTTGTCCATATTCATGCCCCTTTTTAAACATTTTTAAAGTGCGGTCACAGAACCGAATAGTACTCTTTTTTGAAAATATTTCTTTATTTTAGCCCTATTTTTGAACCCAATTTGGTCTATTTACGGTCCTAGTTTGAGGCTTTACCTAAAATGCTTACTTAGTACTTCTATATTAGAAGCCTACCTTTTAAACACTTTGTAATATGTTTTACTAATTTCTTCGAACTTAAGCTTGAGAACTCGCGTTTGCATTTATTACATTTAACTTTATCATTATTGACTGATGTAAAATTATCCGTTGCTGTTTTGTTAACTATAATATAAAATATTCTTTAACTTTAAAATATTAAGTAATTTTATTATTCAAATTCGAAAAATATTAATCTAATTTATCCATAAATTAGAGGTGAGATATTTGGAGTTTCATCTGAGTTTATGTTATGACCCCTCTTATTTAGGCAATGAAGCAGATAATTTATCAAACGTAGAAAATACATTGAATGTTGATGTATGTAAAAGATAAGAGAAGAAGATGGAGCTGGCTTTTATACTAAACTGATTAAGGGCTCTCACGCATACACAACATTTTAGTAATTTTTTGGTTACGGTTCCGGAGTTCTTATAAGAATCCGATCCAGATTAGACACATTTCGAGTATGCTATACTTTTATTACTCACTGTACATAAGAAAAAATGTTGCTTAAAAAACGTTAATTATTTAAATATTATGTTTTATTTACGTTTCCAACAACTTTTATGATGAATTTTTAAATTCGATAAATGTGCAGACATTTCCCGACCACACTCTTTACATGCAACTTTATCATCTCCAATTCTAGTAAAATGATTCCATGTTAAAGAAGTTCTTCCTGTAATATTTTATATTTTTTAATTAGACATATTTCATATTAAAATATTTAAAACTAGATTTTGTCGTTTAAGACTAATATGAACAGAAATGAGATTATAATGTTTTGTCTGTTACCAAACTTTTGAAAGATTTTACATTATACAGAGAGAGACCTCCTTTACCAGAGAGACCTCCTTTACAGACCTCCTTTACCAGTTTTTCCAGCATTCAAAGAATTTTCAAGTTCCTCAGTTCCCATGATATGGAAATCTTGAATTGGATGATATTCCGGATGTTCATTTACTTTTGCAGTAAAACCAGCTAAAAAATTCTTTTGATCAATTGAATAGAAAATTAGATACTGATAAACCGTATTGTTGCCCTTAAATGGGATATTCTGGTCACGGCTATCAGAAAGAGATTGATTAATTCTGGACTTACGACTATCTTGGACAATACCCAAACGCCTACTTTTGCCGTCCTCTTTTAAGTATTCAACTTTTAAATATTCAGCTTATTTATTCACAGTACGGCCCCTTAAGTTAAGTTCAGTACCCCTTTAATTGGGGACCTTTGAGATTACCGTGTTCCTCATGTCCTTGTCCACTCCCGCTGGTCGATCCCAAGTTTTTCTTTCCTTTATCCCCATTACCACCGCCCTCCAACAAAACGGAGATATTTAGAATAATTAAAAGACAAATAACAAGATCAGTTAACTTCATCTAAATATATTTATTAAACTGTATTTGTTATTTTTCATGGATTTTAGTTAATAAATAAATTTTGTAAATTTATTTAGAAGTTTTATAATTTTGGGGAATAGACTACCAAATAAAATACTCTATATAAGGTTATACGACACTTGGGGACGGACTTTTGAGGACCGACTTTTGAGGATTGACATTTGGGATTGCGGAATGACATTTAAGGACCGACAGTTGAGGATCGAATTTGAGGATTGCCATTTGAGTAAAAGAATATTATTATCTAATAACAGAAATCATCACAAATTTCGTACCACAGGGTAGGATCCTCAAATTCGATCCTTAAATGTCGGTCCTCAATCCTCAAATGTCAATCCTCAAATGTCGGTCCGCAAAAGTCCGTCCCCAAGTGTCGCACAACTCTATATAAAATTAAGTGTCTATAAATTTGGTGGTGTCTACTGTTTGTTTAAATAAAACAAGAATAACGTATTAATTCTAAATGACTGCCCGGACATTCTATTTTTCAAACACCCTCCAAAATTCATTCTGTTAGAGAGAGGCATTCAAATTGAGCGGGGCATTCATTAGAGGTAATACGATAGTTAAAAAATTTTTTTCTGAATGTTTATTGCATAATGAGAGCGACTTTTATGGAGAGGATTTCGGCAGCGAAAAATTATTACACGTCGATCAGGCGACTGTCTACCGACTTGCTATCTACATACAAGTACATCAATTTAAAGTAACGCCGACTTTAAATATACGTCGACTTAGAGGACAAGAAAAAATCACGAGAATGCCAACATCCATAAAGAAATCTATTATTCGATTTTTATATCTGATCAACTGTATGTACATATCTAAAACATTTTTAAAAATTGTCTACAACAACATACACAAAAGTACAGCTTCAAAAATAATCGAATAGATACCGACTTGCTATCTTATAACTGTATTTTTGGAACAATGAAACTTCATTATTTTTGAAGTTGTACTTTTGGGTAAATTATTGTAGACAGTTTTTACTGAGTTCAAATCCGAATGAACATGGAAAACTACATATAAAATTTCTGAAAAATTGTCTATGGTAACCGAACCTTTGGTTACAATCTTCTCTTGCAATAGGGTTGTCGGTTCTGGATAGGGTTGAGTTCGGCCCGATCCGAAAGATCGAATCAGGCATTGAATGTTGGCCCGAAAAAGACTCAGTCGGGCCGGCCCGAAAAAAATGACTCAGTCGGCCCGACTCGAAAACCCCTACCCTAGTTCTGGACCAAACCGAAGAACCAAAAATTTTTGGTTCGGATATCGGTACGGTTCCGGATATTCGAAGATTTTTCAAGAACCGACAACCCTAACTGCGAACATGTTAGGTGTAAGTACAAAAAGTTTAATTAGAAAGTCATAGGGGAAAAATTTTCAAAATATAAGTGCATTACAAAAATACAATTTAAAAATTTTATTCTCGTTCAAATCTCTTATATTTCTCTCCCAAAGGAGGTTTTTTAGCACCGAAAGTGCCCCCTACCTCCCTGGCTACGGGACTGTTCCTCACTTCAAGCTCTCTCAAAAGACATAAATTGCCCTTATTCAAAGTGGCCCGTATTTTAAAAATTTTCGAAAATTTAAATTTAAGTACCTCAGAAGAATAAAAAAAAGTAGCTCATTAAATTTAATTTTGAGTAAGAAAAAAAAATACATAAATAGTATTTTAATAATAAAATACACACCAGTCTTTTTAATATAAAAAAATTCATTTAAATAAATCAGTCGCTGCAATATTTTTACTAACACATTCTTCACACAAATCTATACGTAAGGTTACTCCAGCTCCATCACGTTGAATTTTTTCATCCGATTTGAATAACCTTTCACGACAATTTTTGCATAAATAAATTTGTAAAAAATCTTTGGGTTGAAGTGAAGAAGAACATTTTACTTGGGTAGATGCAGCTAAAGCTTCGGCAAGATGAGCTAATGATGTTGTAGAGTTTAATGAAGGTGTGGGGGCGGGAGGAGGAGGAACAGGAGCTGCAACAACATTGTTGTTAACAATAGGAGGAGGAATACTCGTTGGAGGGGGAATATTTGTTGTTGATGAAGAAGCAACAGGAGGAAGATTAACATTATTAATAGGTGGAGTAACTATAACAACTGTTGGAGGATTTATAATCTCTGTTGAATGTTGTTGTTGTAATTGTTGGTGTTGTTGACGTAGTCTTAACTCACGGTCATGTTTAAATGTGTCAACCTGTGAAAATAAAATTTTTGTTGTACACTGCGTTAATAAAGTATAAGCACCCCCAAATTTTAGTAAAAAATACATTATCCCTAAATGCCATTTGTTTTATTTTTTTCCTACATTAGCAGGGATCCAAAACATAACTAAAAATAAAGTTTCAGAAATTTTTATCGATTTAAAAATTTTAAAATTGAATTTTCTCGAAGTTAAGGTGTTAAGAAAGTATAAGCACCCCTGTAAATTTTAGTTTCCACTTATTGTAAAATTTTACAAAAAATACAGTAAACATCTCTATCGATATTATAAAAAATAAAAAAAGAATTAGGCCGTTATCTCATTTCAGTGTCGAGATCTCGATACCCTGAAAATCAACGTAAAACAGGGGTAAGCAACTTCGAAAAATTTTTTCGACCCCTTATGGATTATTTAAAATTTTTATTTTAGGCTTGTCTGAAATCCCTTGAAATTTGCTACAGGATAGCACTAGTTAAATTTTCCATAAAAAATATAACAGCAAAATATAGGCAGTTAATCTTACGAAGAAAACTTAATGCGTATTTATGGGGCAATTTTCGTTTTTCTTTGAATTAGAACTTTAAAATTTAATAACTTAATGAAATAATTTTTCTGAAATATAAGATTTTTGGGTTCTTGTAGCAAATTTCAAGGGCTTTTAGACAAGCCTAAAATAAAAATTTTAAATAATCCATAAGGGGTCGAAAAAATTTTTCGAAGTTGCTTACCCCTGTTTTACGTTGATTTTCAGGGTATCGAGATCTCGACACTGAAATGAGATATCGGCCTAATTCTTTTTTTTATTTTCTATAATATCGATAGAGATGTTTACTGTATTTTTTGTAAAATTTTACAATAAGTGGAAACTAAATTTTTAAAGGGGTGCTTATACTTTCTTAACACCTTAACTTCGAGAAAATTCAATTTTAAAATTTTTAAATCGATAAAAATTTCTGAAACTTTATTTTTAGTTATGTTTTGGATCCCTGCTAATGTAGGAAAAAAATAAAACAAATGGCATTTAGGGATAATGTATTTTTTACTAAAATTTAGGGGTGCTTATACTTTATTAACGCAGTGTAATTTTTATATAAATTTTTTGATTTTTAAATTTGAAACTGCAAGACTATAAGACTATTAATATAGAGATACCATGCTTTTTCTTACTCCGTACCGCTGACCGTGTGCTCCTTCAGGACGAGGCTAGGTGCCCAGAGAACCATATGTATACGTACATTACGTATTTTTAGGTTTTTATCTGTGTTCCGTATGGGTATTTGGCATATTTAACTAGGTAATCTACGAATATTCCCAAAGCTTCGTCAATTTTTGTCAACTATACAGTTATTCTATTAGTCTCCAAAAAAATCGGCGCCCGACCTTATGTAAGGATGATTCACCTAGCAGCTTTAAAACGCTTAGGTGGGCGTTAAACAAGATAAAAGGAGAAAGCATTAGTCGTGGTAGAGCTACTATGTACGGTGAGCAAAAGCGCCTAGAAATGACTACGAGGATGTCGCAGGAATCCTGCCCGGTGGCTAAACTTTTGCTAAACTCTTTCTCTTAATGACAATTTGTAAGTCGCTGTCCTATCTAGTTTTTGACCCAGTCTTTTGTTTCTACATGAAATCTTGTTTTGGATTTTTTTCAATTTCAAAGAAAAACTAAGCACCTTGTCCTTAATTAGTTTCGTGATATGTTTAATGTCGGAATCTGGGATTAATTGTTGTTCCACCATTTGTTGAACAATTTCTTCTGCTTTATCAACCTCTATGTCAAAAGAAAATAATAACCCTTCATTTTCTTTAAATTTGTATTGAGCTCGTTTACGTTCGTCAATTACGTATAATTGCATATGAATCTTTAAAAAAATAATTTTTCTTTAAAAATTTCCACTAAAAAACACCTCATTATTAGTTCCAGTCAAATCCTGCTCTCTATTTTGAATATCTATTCGAATACCACATTGCTCCTCTTCTTCCCCATTTAATAACTGTTGAGTAGATGATGCTTGGTCTAAATTATTTTTCTCATTTGTAACACGGTCAATTATTTCTTTTATTTCAGGGTTTTGAATACGTTCAAAACATGTTGATTTGACATTCTATAAATAACAAGAATTTAAAGGAGAAAGAAAATTCAACTAGTATTTAGTATTAATGTCAAGGGTTAGTCGAAAGGGTTAAGGGTTGTTTTTTTAAGGTTAAGTAACCCTTTACCCAAAGGTTACTCAGAACCAGTTAGCCTAAACCTAAATTCTTTCGACCCTATAGAGATCCACTTCCCTGTGTAATGCCTAATAATAAGTAGAATTGGCAGCTAGGACGAATCAACACTAGAAAGATCGAGCGAGCCGAGGCTATCTAGCCTGAAATAGACCCGTATGACTCGACTGAAATGAATGACTCAAAAAAAACGTAAACCAACCAAATTGAAAAAACCCATGCTCAAATAGCTTAAAAGACTCAACTCGAAGAACGTCGGCTCGAACCGAAAACGGAGAACCTAAAGCTTATGTATTGGATCCCGTATTTATTATCCTTGGTGAGTAGGACCCGTTTTTCCTTAGCTAATAATCATATTTTTAAAGTCACCCCGCTAGGTTGTGGCTGAATAACAACATTAGAAGTATTAGTAACTCCATTAGTAATAATATTTGTAGTCGTAGTTGCAGCTGTTGCCTGAGAAGATGCTGCTAAAGCTTCGGCAAGATGAGCAAGAGAAGTGGCTGTGTTAAGAATTGGGGCTGTACCAACAACGCATGCAGTAGTAGGAGCAACGATAACAACAGCAGCAGCAGTTGGGACAACAGCAGGAGTGAGAATTTCAGAAGCTTGTTGTTGTAATTGTAGTTGGCGGAGCCTGAATTCACGGTCACGTTTAAAGCAATCGACCTGTTTAAAAAATTTTTGTAATATGACACTAAAAAGGGAGGGGGCGGACATATTGGGACGGACATCTCGGGAATGCTATGACTCCGGCTCCGGAAGTGCCGGGTCCAGAGCCGAGCTCTGGAATTAGCTTTCGGAGACATACACAGCACTGGTGCTTATGTTGGGGTTCTAAAACATAAAAACTGAATTTGTCAATAGGAGAATGTACTCAGTGTGTGTAGGCCAAGATCCAAGATCCAGTGATTGTAGGCTGAGATACAGTGGTCCCTCCCCTCCCACTAAAAGTGGGGGAGGGGGGCCTCTCGGGACGAACATCTCTGGATTGGGAGTATCAAAAACAACTTCTTGTGTGTTTATGTTGGGGTTCTAGAACATAAATCAGGGTATTATCCGAGATCCATTGACCGCAAGTCCCAAAACCAGTAGGGTAACTGTCCGTAAATTGAAATATCCCAATATGTCCGCATGTAACCAAAAACTAAGCACCTTATCCTTAATTAGTTTAGTGATATGTTTAATGTCGGAATCTGGGATTAATTGTTGTTCAACCATTTGATGTACAATTTCTTCTGCTTTGTCAACCTCTATGTCAAAAGAAAATAACAAGCCTTCATTTTCTTTAAATTTGTATTGAGCTCGTTTACGTTCGTCAATTACATATAATTGCATATGAATCTAAGAAAAAAATTTTTTGAAAATTTTTTTGGTACAATTAAATCAACCCACAAGGCTTTTATGAACTCTCATGTGGAAGGGGGTATGTTAGGAACTTTATATAATTCTTGGAAGTAGGTAAGTCAATAACATTGTTGTCTCACATGAGGATTTTTACAAGCAAAGCGATACCCAATATCACCTCTCCACTCGAGGCCTCCCACCTGACTAATTGTAAAATCTACACGGGACTACACTAAAAAAACCACCAACCATATAGCGAAAACTGAGTAGTCTAAATCGAATGTGTTGAAGGGATAGGCCTGTATTGGGTCCAGAGCTTGATTTTTTACTGGACCCAGAGCCAAGATTAAGGCATTTACCTATGTCCCTTGATTTTTCCTTGACTTTGATCATCCTTACCCAAGGACTTGAAGCTAGACAGCTCGGTCTTTTTTAAAATTCCCTAACTCTACCATTAACTTCAATAAAAATTCTGAAGAAAACCACCTCATTATTAGTTCCAATCAAATCTTGTTCTCTATTTTGAATATCAATTCGAATCCCAAATTGTTCTTCCGGCATAAAAAATTCATCGTTTAATAATTGTCGAACAGTGGAACGTTCATCCTTGTTCGTTCTTATGCATCTATCGATAATTTCTTTAATTTCGGGATTTTGAATTCGGTCAAAACAGGCTGGTTTGACACCCTTAAATTTAACAAAACTTTCAAAAAAATTTATGGGAAAAATTCGAACCGAAACAACTTTTCGATAAACTTGAGCAGCATATTGACATTCACTGTAAGGATATTCACCAGTAACCATTTCTAATAGACACATTCCGAAAGCATAAACTTTGAAAAAAAATTTTTTTATAAATATTATCAGGACAGGAGAACAACTAGGGGGGGGGGCTGAGGAACTCCTTTGGATGTTCTATCCACTGACCTAGAGTTGGTGGGTTCAGAAATCCTTACAAAAAAAGTAAATAAAAATTATCGGTGAGGAGAACAACCAGGGCCAGGAGAGCCTGAGCAACTCCTTTGGATTTTCCCTCCATTATTAAACTGTCCTAGAGTTGGAGGTTCAGGAATACTTCATCCTCGATTCCCTAAATTTTTTTAGGAATTTTTTTATTTAAAACTTCAAATTCCAAAAATTCCCAAAATTCCATTCGGGATTTCCTCACGTTTTAGCCAAAAATCCTTCACGATTTTCCCAACTCGGAAATTAAAAATTTATCGGAAATCCAACCCGAAACAGTATCACAAAATCTAAATTTTGTTTTTTTCCTTAGTAATTCTCCCAATATATTAACCTGTACTTGGGTTGGGTTCAAGAATCCCCAAACATTCCCAAAAATCGTCCCAAAAAATTGGAATTTCCCGACAGTTTTCCCCAAATTCCTCCCGATTTCCCATCTCGAAAATTAAAATTTTATCGAGAATCCAAACCGACACATTATCCCAAGTCAAACATTTAGTTTTTTTTCTCAGGAATTCCCGTTTACTATTCCCAAAATTTTTTTGAAAAACTCCCATCCCCTTTAAATTAACTAAAATTAAAAAAAATACCATCAACTTCTTCATCGTATTGTTCTTCATACATTTCTGGTGCCATAAATTCTGGTGTTCCAATAACACTTTTTGCATGAGATTTATTTTTGAGAGTGGCAAGACCTGAACAGTTTAATAAATTTTGAAATTTTAAAACAAGTCTAAAATTGTAAGGGGAAGGTAAACGTTTAGCCTCTAGCAAGCATTGATACTGCGAGCTTTCACTATCCCCCTATCTAACTAGAATTTATTAATACCAAATAGGGTTGTTCCCCGGCGAGGGGGCCCGGTGATAAATTTTCGGGGAAGCAATGCCACGGGGCGGAAAGACGGGGAGGGGTAAAATTTTTTAGTTTTTCACTGGGTGGGGGAAGGGTGGGAATTTTCAAAAATCTCTCAAATTCCCCCGACTTTCGGGGACGCGGAATAACCCTAATACAAAGAATTTTAAATGCTACACAGATGCCCTCTACCCCCTCCCTCCCTCTAAAGCCCTCTATGCCCCCCTCTCCCTCATGGCCCTCTACACCCCCCCCCTCCCCCCTTCAGAACTTTTCCCACAAATTTTTAATTTCAAAAAAAATTTTTATTTGCAAACCTAAATCCCCAATTTTTACACTTCCAGTAGTTCCAGTAATAAAAATATTATCACATTTCAAGTCTCTATGAATAACAGGAGGTTGACGAGTATGCAAAAAATATAAGCCTTTGAGTATTTGACGACACCAAGATTTGAGAACTTTGACATTAATTCGTTTAAAACGTTTCAAATAAAGTTTAAGAGTCCCAGAAGTCATCAATTCAGTGATGAGGACTATATATCTTTAATAAAAAAAATTTTTTAGGAAGAATTTTTAAAATCCCGTGGTGGAAATCTAAGAAAAAAATTTTTTTCTTAATCGAAAATTTAAAAATGGATACCCATTAAAATTCTCCTTGCCACCAAAAAAACTTTTTTTTCGAATAATTTTTTAATCTGAAAACTCTTTTCCCTTAACCATAAAAATAAAAAAAAATTTTTTTCGAAATTACAAACAGCCTAGTCAAAAATTCCTGAAAAAAATAATTAAAAAAATTCCAATGTAAGGACCTAAAGTTGAAAATAAAATTCAAAATTTTTCTAGAATTTTTTTACCCTCAAAAACTTAAAAAAATTCTCGTACCCCACAAATTAAAAAAGAAATTTTTTCAAATTAAAATTCTTATTGTCACCAAAAATAATCCGTTTGATCCTAAAGTCAAAAAAACCCAAAAAAATTTTTTATTTTCTTAACCCAAAAAAAAATTTTTTCAACTCCCAAGATTGTCATTGTCAAAAAATCTTCTAAAAAAATTTCTAAACCCCCAAAGAATTTTCAAAAAAATCCCCCCCCCCCCTCAAAAATAAAAATTCAAACAAACTTTCGTTTTCCATCTGTCCTTTCCCAATAATCATAAAATTTGACAATATTTGGGTGTTGAAGTCCTTTAAGCATTTCAGCCTCATCTCTAAAACGTTGTCTTTCAGGCTTGCTTAATTTTTGTTCTTGTAATTCACACCAAGCGACGGCTACGCCTAAAAAAAGAAATTTTTCGAAAAATTTTCAGAAAATTAAAAAAAAACCTGTTTCTGTGTCTAAACCACGATAAACAGTTTTAAACGAACCACGACCCAGTTCCTCGTCAAATTTGAGGAAGCGACCATCTTAAAGAGTAAAAAAGTCTAAAAGAGTTTGGTATGTAATGCTTGATTAATAGAGGGGTTAGAGATTAAGGTTGTCGGATACAGATTCGAAAAACGCTTTGAGATTCTAAAATTTCGGTTCGAATCTTGGAAAGGCATTCTATGGAAGTCTATAGATCGGAGGGACCCCGGATGGATTTAGAAATCCGAGGAATATTAAACTTTTTGAAACTCGAAAAACGGAGGGAGGCTAGACTTGGAGGGAACTAAACTCTCAAATGGAGCTCTGAAGCTTAAAAATAGAGGAATCTAGGGCTAAAGCTACGCCTGAAATGAGGAAAAGGAAAAAATTTTGGCGCACTTTATTTTAGTCCCCTTCACCTGAAATAAACCCCAGGCTACACCCTTGGAATCCAGATTAGAAAGTTTTGAAGATAGATGAGACTAGACCAGGCCCGTAACCAAGATTTTTGAGAGGGGCCAAGGGAATAAAATATTTTTATGCCGAATTATTGGGTCCAAAAATCCCCTCCCAAAAATTTTTGACACTTTCCCAATTTCGGGGAGGGGGGGGGGCGAGATTCCAAGGGAGTTCTAAAATAAATAAACATAGACCCTGGGTACCACAAAAAAATTTAATGTTTAAAAAAATAAAAAATTGAAACCCGGAGATTTGTCGATCGGTTTTTCCTCGTCATAGTCCTCATCATAATCCTCAGACAATTTTCTCCGTTCCTCCTCTTCCTGTTGTTTAATTTCAGCTACAGCAGCTGCCGGAATTAGAGTTATGGGGGTTATTGCGTCTACCGAGTCTATCGCATTTTGTTTTAAGGCTTCGGAAACAACGGGCAATTTTGTGAGATTTAACTGAAAAATTGAAAAAAAATAAAAGGAAAATACTAAAAAACCTGTTGAAATATTGGAGAAGGTATTGCAGTTGGGGGAGTGCCAACAAGTGTATCTGCTGGTGAAGGAGCTCCGCTGCCAGTGGAGAACTAGAAAGGTGAGAAAATAAAAAAGGGAAAAAAATAAAATTTTAAAAAGATTTTGAAAGTATGGAAAATGAAAGGGCCCATAAAAATTAAAATAATGGCCGTAAAAGGGTAACTTCTTTTTTCAAGCCTTAAAATATTTTCTTTAAATATAAAAAAAATTTTTTTTAAGAAAAAACTTTAAAAGCCACGGAGAGTCGATTACAAACATGTATGGAGTAAGGATGTCACGGGTTATCCGAACCCAGACCTTTTTTCGACACGAAACCCGATCCGAAGAAAATTTGGTACTTTATGGATATGTCACCCCCCCCCCTCCTATTTTGAGTCTCAGAGTTTTCATTAAACGTAGAAAATGGTCAGAGATTATTTTCTTCTACATGTCAATCATTTTTTTCTTCTTCAGGTATTTTGCTTGTTTATTTTGCCTTTTCACATATTTTGTACTTAAATTTCACTCATTTCGTTTATACATTTACCACATTTGCTTGAAGAAAGGAAAAATGATTGACATGGAGAAAAAAATAATCTCTGACCCCTTCTACGTTTAAGGAAAACTCTGAGACTCAAAATAGGAGGGGGGTGACATATCCATAAAGTACCGAAAATTTTTAAGACCCGACCCAAAAATTTCTTTTAACCCGTAACATCCTTAATAAGGACAATATAAAACGAAAAAATTTTAAAAAATGGGATGCTCATACCGATCAAAAAACCCAGCTCAAATAAATTAGAAAGCGTAACCAAAAACTGTTTTAAAAAATGAAATTGACCTCAAACAAAAACCGAAAAAACTTAAAAACCTGTTTGGACCACAATTGCTGTTTAGCTTTTGGACGACTCAAACGCCACTCCCTTTGGACAGCTTCAAGCCTAGACTTTTCTTCTGCAGAAAGACAAGTATGAGAGTCCCAAGCATTTGAAGAACTAAAAAATAAAAAATTTTTTGAATAATTAAGGAGAATCGTTTGGGCTTTAAATAAGGAAGTGACTCAAACACGTTGGGGTTTTCAGAAATTTTTCTGATCAAGTTTGAGATTTCTGTCTGGAATCCCGTCTAATAAAGGACACGAACAAGAGGGTTTAATCAAATTATAGTTTAGGTAACAGCTTTTTTAAGGTAACAGCTGGCGTTTGATTTAACGACTTCAAACGGATCCTGGGCCAACAACAAGGAACCCCAGGAAATCAAAAAATGCTTGAAACTAGATTCTGGGTACAGGGTACAGAAAATTTCTCAGAAACCGACATCCCTAGTTAACAATAGATAACAGACAAGTTTGCCCAAAATTTCTACAAAAATTTACAAAAATCGCGAGAAAGTCGGAAAAGTCGAAACACACGAAAACCCTCAGAAAATTTCCAAGAAAAAAATTTTGTAGGAGCCTACAAACCTTACTTCGAAAAAAGGGAATATTTTGGAAAACACCCCAAAAATCCAACCCGAACCCCCAAAAATAATTTAAAAATTAAAAAAAAAACCTCGTAGCAGCTGGAGGCTCATTTCCCCGTTTAATCACAGTTCGTCTTCTCCTCGCTACCCCCAAATTGCTATTTAAAGGATTTCTGGCCGGGGAGGAATGATTTGAAGCTGGAATGTGTGTTTGCCCGTTTGTCTGTGCAGAATTTGTTGTTTTCCTTCCAGAAATGTTTTTGACGTCGCCGTTGATTGAATTTTCCATTTTTGGGAGAAAATTGAAATTTTTAACAGGAAATTCGAGGAAAAAATTTTTAAAAATTTTTAAAGATTTTTTAAAAACTAAAAAACAAAAAAAATGACTTTTAGCCTGTCAGCAGACTTTTCGTTTTTCTCTTTCTCTAAAAAATATATTCGCGACGGGTCAGTAGAGTATCAGAACGATTGAGTCCCATTAGGGGCTATTGGAAGGGTCATAATTAGAGGTCGGCACGGGACAGGATCCCGTGCGGGATTTTACGGGATCCTGTGAAATCCCGTATTTTTAGCAACGAACGGGATTACGGGATTAATCCCGCGGGATCCTGTCCCGTAAAATTTTTTGAAAAAAATCCCGTTACGGATCCCGTGAATGCGACTTTACCGACCTCTAGTCATAATGGTCTTAAAAAACGCAAGACGAGGGTTGTCGGTTCCTGGAAACTCTTCTGATGTCCGAAACCGAACCGAAAAATCCTCGATCCTTCTGTTCAGTTCGGTCCAGAAGCGACAACCCTACGCAAGACGCTTTTTTCTCATCCTTGTTACGCCCAAAACGGCGCGAGGCCATAACGGCGCGGAGCCATAACCTTCTGAAAAATTTCCGGCGTTTATCAATTTTGGTACCAATCTCTTTAGCTCGATGAGAGGAATCGTTTGATACCAAATTTGGTAAGATTCGGAAATTTTAAAGCAAGTTATGGCTTCGCGCCGTTATGGCCGCGCGCCTAATTGGGCGTGTCTCAGAAAATCCCCCAAAAAAATTTTGTAAATTAATGCGGAAGTTATTAAATTTTGGATGTTTGAGTCTGACAATAAATTTGGGAAAAATAAAATTCTCATAATTTTGGGGGGCTAACTTATTTAGAGAGAAAAATTTTTCCTTTAAAAATGATTAAATAATTAATTTTATTGAGTAAATAATTTTGAAAGAAATTCTAAATTAAGTAACGAAAGATGAATAAACAAGAAAGAATTTCATGTGGACCAAAGGGAATATTATTTTATGTCTCGTCGATTGCCCCAAATATTCGCAGTCTTTTATGGGCAAACCAAAGGAAAGAGGGAATGAGGTCGTTTGGGCGCCGGCACCTTTTTGGCGGCGCTCGAGAGGATGAGGGGTCATTTAGGCGCCGGGACATTTTTGGCGCGAGACTCAAAATTTGACACTTGGGCTGAGCCTAAAATCGTGAAAATTTTCTCAAATTTTTTTAACATACTTGACTACCTTCTCCAGAAATTTCAGAATTTTTCATCAATTATTTTTTAAGTTATAGGCGAAAAACCTTGAAAATTAGGCGTTTTTTGAAAAATTCTGATTTTTGGCCATAATTTCAGAAATTCTGGACCAAAAATTCTGAAATTTTTGGAGAACCTAGTTAAACATAAGAGAGCTATTTTTGCCTATTATTGCCATAAGAAGGCTATTATTGCAAAATTTCAGCCTTGAAGATAGTCAATCAACTGATTATATATGCTCGCGCCAAAACGGCCCCACGCCGAAATTAACCTAGTCTCCCCCAATTTAATGCCTGCGAATAAAGGGGGAGTTGTCATCAAATGATGGGAAATTCCACTGACGCCTATAAAAATTACAACAATTTACAAAAAATGCATGAGTTTAGTCTTTCCATATAAGGGAATGATAATATTTTTGTGTTACACAAAAAAATATTTAATAATATTTTTGGGAAACCCACACATTTCTTTGGTCGTAAATCATTCTAAATGAGAGAATTTTTAAAGAAATTGCGATTAAAAATTAAAAAATGGGACACGCCCATTAGGCGCGAGGCCATAACGGCGCAGAGCCATAACTTGTTGAAAAATTTTTGGCCCTTATCAATTTTGGTACCAATCTCTTCAGCTCGATGAGAGGAATCGTTTGATACCAAATTTGGTAAGATTCGAAAATTTTGAAGCAGGTTATGGCCTTGCGCCGTTATGGCCTCGCGCCTAATTGGGCTGTACCCATTAAAAATAAAAAGGCATGTCTGGACGGTTCGGTTCTAATTATTTTGATAAATACAGTAAGAATTGACCCAAAAAATTTATTCAAATTTTTTCAGTTTGTAATTTACCCAAATTCAATAATCTGTTTTGATTGACTAATGGAAAATTTAATTGTTGGCAAGCTGCCTTAGTGATACCCCATGTTTAGTATATCTCTCGTTATAAGATAAAGTTTTATCAGTCCTGAGGAGGTTCTGCTGTAATTTTGCAAAGACAGACGATGAAATAGACTAAAAAAAACAAATTTTGCGTCCCAAAATCTATTAATAGAAAAGCGAATAGTTTTAAATTTAGAATGAAAAAAGAAGGAAAGTAAATAGCGGAACAACTATTTTTGTAAACTTTTAAGTAATCTTTGCAGCTAAATTTTTGCAGCAAGCGAATTTTGTGGTGAATTTTTAAGTGAATTTTTAAAATATATTTAAAAGCCTTAATGAATGAGGAACCGTGTCTAAAGTAAATTTTTAGCTTGATTAGATAAGTTGGGATCAGACTCCTAGCTATGCAGTCCAGAGAAGCTCGCAACCCCACGACATTTGAATGAGTGAATTCAGAGGATCAGAATTAGGAGGAGATGGCTTATCGTATTTTTTTATTAGTGACAACATACTTAAAAATATTAAAAAAATGGAGTCCACCCCTCAAGACCTACACCCTCTAGACATACACCCTGAAGAATCTCCACCCTGAAGACCTACACCCTGAGGACCTACAATTTTTTATCTACAAAATTTTTTACTTTTTATTTCTTTACAAGTTAATCGGGGGATTTAAAGGAGGTAAAGAGGAACTAGGAGGGATTAAGGGTGATATCGATGGATTCGAGGTTTTAAAGTGGATAGTGATCCCCTTTAATCCCTCAGGCTCACCTATTAAACTCGTAAAAAGAAAAAAATAAATAATTTGAGTTAATCAAAAAGTGTAGGTCTTCCGGGTAAATAGGTCTTCAGGGTGTATGTCTTGGGGGTGTAGGTCTTCAGGGGTGGATTCCCCACGACATTTGAATGAGTGAATTCAGAGGATCAGAACTAGGAGGAGATGTCTTATCGTATTTTTTATTAGTGACCTAAAATACTTAGCAAAATATTTTAAAAAATTATTACAGCCTTAACAAGTACAGGCGGACAAATCAAAAATTTATAAATAAAAATTGATTTATGTAAAAAATATTTTAAAAATATATTCATTTTAAAATTTAAAAATATAAACACAATATTTGTTTGTTTGTTAACTTTTGTGTACTTAAAATAAAAACTAGACTCATTATAAACGTAAACGCCAACGTGTTTTTCTATTTTTTCACTTCCTTTTTTTATAAATTTTTCTTGTACTGTGTACTTGAAAATTTAAAAGAACAAATAATTGGAAATTATTTAGAATTTTAAACGTTTTTTGGGGTATTTTTAACAAGGTTTGGAGCAGAGGTGGGTCGGAACAGTCAGAGGTGCTGGAAATCGGAAGAGCGGGAAATCCGAACTGGCTCAAAATTCGGAACTTGGAAATCGGAAATTTTTATTCGGAAATCGGAATTCAGACTCACCTCTGATTTGGAGGAAAGCTACTTAACTGTAGGCAATAGCAAGAAGGGGTTGTAGGGTGTCCGCGGGACTTCGGGATGAAATTTGGTAGACAGATAGATCATATCCTACTTATACCCCAAAGCCTCGCCTTTGTGAGAGGGTAAATGGTAAAAGAGCCCATTCTGAACTTTGAATTAGAGCCCAAACCTGCATGAGAGCTCCAACCTGTAGATCTGTTATAAGAGCTCCACATTGGGAAGGGGGAGGTTTTATTTTAGGAAATACGGTATTAAAATTATTTTTAATTCCAGGAAGTAGGCAAATTTCCTTATTAGAAAGAATTCTAACAAAAAATTCTGAACATTTTTATCAGTAAATTAAAAAAAAAATTTTTTTTTTGCATGACATGGGGACAATATAAAAATTTTTAAAATTAAAAATATCCAGAAAATGTGGAATTAAAGAAAAATGGAGAGCCTGAAAATCCTTGAAAAATGTGTGTTTAAATAAATAAATAATCTTCTTTCCGCCTCTTTATATTATTAGTCACGCTCTCGTGGTTGGAAGAATGCACGGCGCGGGATGTCAAGGCGTGCATAAATGAAATAAAAAGGTAAGAGGGTAGATAAATTTCTGAAATTTTTAAAAAATATTTTGGATATTGTTGTCTATCTTTTCGGTAAATTTTAGAATTTTTGGATTTTTGTTTCAAAAGTTATGGCCAAAAAAAATTCGAAAATAATAGGGTAATTTTGAAATAACTTGACTCTTTAGTTAAAAATTCTGATTTTTTTTCTAAAAATTCTGATTTTTTTCTGAAAAATTTCTGAAATTTTTATAGGACCTATCGAACATATTGAACCATATTTATACGAAATTTTCATATTCCTAGGCCCTTATCAGTCAAATTTAAAGTCCCCACGCCTCCTCACGCTTTGCGCCCAAACGCTCCTGTCAACCACTCTCGACACTAAAAACACAGTCCTTTTGTGTTGTTTTTTATTGGAAGAAATGAGGATGTTATTTATTTATTTAAAATATTTGTTCGATGTACTTCCGCTGTTATTTTTCGCTCAATAAAAAATAAAAATACTAAAATTTAACAATTTTTTGTTTACTTATTTTTTTTATTAAAAATGACGAATTTTGGGTAAATAAATAATAAATTTAGAAAAGATTTTATCTTTGAGTTAAAAGTATAATTATTATAAAAATAAAAAAAATCTAATTTTATAATCAGTGTCCTTATCATGGTGTGTGGAAATTAATAAGTAGAATGAAGCTGGACAGAGTATCCGGAGTGACATGAGAGTGACATTAATCCCGGATTGACAAAAAGCAAAAATCGAGTTTAATAACGATATGAAGAGGTGGAGAGTTCGAAAGAAGGCCGGATATAAAAAAGAAGGCCGGCCTTCGAAAGAAGGCCGGATATACGAAATTTTGATTCGGATACAGGATATCCAAAAATTTCCAACTATCCGTCAGCCTTTGTGGAGATTGAGGGGATATATGATATGAAAAATAATTTTTCTACAAATTTTCATTCATCACATAATAACATTTCTTTGC